ATATATCATTTCTTTGTGTACAATGTTAAGTATATTATTTTCCTCTCGTATTGCAAAGATTTATAGAAAATAATTATCTAGGTAATTGTTAGCTATTATCCATATTACCTCAGACCATCTGAAGACTTTGTGTTGATATCTCTCAAGTTTCATTTTGAATTCGTTTCTGAAGCTGTTATTAGGATTCTTTATTTTTGTCTTTTTTGTCTTTGTTTCTCTGCCAATCCCCAGTCTACACTAAACTTTGCACTTACATATATCCTATTAGTTGTATTTTACATTCAATCTTTGCTGTCAACTAAAGCTGTTTTCATTCAAGGAGACTGCTGGATGGTCCTGTATTAAGCTGAACACATTTTGAACACCTCTCATTATTTATCTGTAATTTTACCTGATAACAGCTTTAACCAATTTGCTATTGTCAGTTTCTGTCTCATCCTGTTAAAGTTAACATTAACGTAATCTTTTCAAACCCAACATTGAATTTACGCTTATTATGCTTACTGTCACCTAAAATGACCTCTTACAGAGGATAATTAACTTTGGCTCAGTGCTCATTAATAAACATAGAATAGCCTGCTCTCTTGCTGATTTTAGAAGATGTTGCTCCAGAGAACCAGAGTCAATGCACTAAAGAAATTCACCAAATTTCTGCTTGTGGAACAGTGTGCCTTAATCTATACAGAAATTAAAACTTCCTCTGAAATTAACTTTGCTTTAGTTACAAACCGCTCTACTAAATTAGTCCATTCTGCAATTTCACTGCTGCTATCAGGAGGTCTATTGACAACTCTCACTTCACATCTAAATTATGGCTTATTGTTTAATTCCAATAATCCAAATCTCTGGTGATTGCCTTCCCTTACGTAAAAACCTATTTCTTCCATGTAATAATATCTTCAATCAAATGGAATAAATGCCTTTCACTTCTTTTTTTTTGACCTTTTTAAATACCTTATAGCCTTATGGAATTTTAACATAAGCATGACCAGTATGTAGCCAGTCTCTGTAATGATCATATGATTAGAAGAAATTGGAGGAGTAGGCCATTCAGTCCCTCCAACTTGCAGCAACATTCACTCAGGTCATGGTTGATCAAGTTGTCGCCTAATTTCCACTTTCTTGCCATTATCCCTGAATCCCAGGTTAATCAAAATTCTGTCAAAATCCGATTTGATTATATTTAGTGAGCCAGCCTCCACTGCTCACTGTGAATGTGAATTCTAAAAAAAAAGAACAATCATCCGAGATAAGAAATTTCTAATCACCTCCATCTTAAATGGGATATCCTTTATTTTGAAACTGTGCCCGTTGTTCTAGAATTCTCCATGAGCGGGTACATGGTCTCAGCAACTGCCCTGCCACATCATATGCATGGCATTCCCTCAGAGCAGTATTTCAGTTTCAATTTCACTGAATTAATTTCTGATTCAAACTGGGCAAAGTATAAGCCTTTGTGTGTGAATGCGTGAGTGAGACAGTAAGTGTGTGAGTGAGAATGTGAGTGAGTGCATGAGAAACAGAGAGAGAGAGAGTTTAAGCTACTTTGAGGCCAGGTACGCAATACAGATCCAAACAGGACTCACTCTCTCAAATTGCTGCTGAGGCCTAGCGGTCAATTACTTTGTTGTTCATTCATGGAACAGAACAAGTAGGGAACAAGAACAGGCCATTCAGCCCCTTGAGCCTGCTCCACCATTCTAATCATGGCTCATTATCTATTTCAATGGCATTTCCCACACCATCTCCATATTGCTTGTTGTTATTAATATCTGGAAATTTATCAAGCTTTGTCTGAATATTCTTAATGACTGAGCTTCCACAGCCTTGTGAGATTGAGAATTCCAGATATTCAACATCCTCTGAGTGAAGAAATTCTTCCTCATCTGTCTTAAGGGGCCTATGCATTATAATCAACAGCCAGGGGAAATGATCCTTTCTGCATCCACTCCATCTATCACTTTAAGAATTTTGCAAGTTTCTATGAGATTGCCTCTTATTCTTCAAAACTCCAGAGAAGTCTCTGCAGGGAGGCGATGGCCTAGTGGTATTATTGCTAGACTGTTAAACCTAGAGACCCAGATAACATTCTGGGTACCTGGGTTCAAATCCCACATGGTAGAATTTGAATTCAATAAATATCTGGATTTAAGAGTCTAATGATGACCATGAATCCATTGTTGGAAAACCATCAGGGTCACTAATGTCCTTTAGGGAAGGAAACTGCCATCCTTACCTGGTCTGGCCTACATGTGACTCTGGACCAACAGCAATGTAGTTGACTCTTAACTGCCCTCTGGGCAATTAGGGATGGGCAGCGATGCCCTCATCCTGTGAATTAATAAAAAGAAACAAAAAATCTCTCCTCGTAGGACAGTCCCACAATGCCAGGAAGATCATAAGAAATAGGAGCAAGAGGAATAGGCCATCTGGCCCCTCGAGCCTGTTCTGCCATTCAATAAGATCATGGCTGATCTTTTTGTGGACTTAGCTCCACTTACCCACCTGCTCACCACAACTCTTAATTCCTTTACTGTTCAAAAATCTATCTATCTTTGCCTTAAAAACATTCAATGAAGTAGCTCAACTGCTTCACTGGGCAGGTAATTCCACAGATGAACTTTCCTCTTTGACACTGCTTCCCAAACTGTTTCCTAATGTGACTCCATTTTTGAGCCTTTTAAACTGTCACAACCTCTCAGTGAGAACTGAGACAGCAGGGGCTTGTTTGAGTCAGAGTGCAGCTGTTATAGCTCAGCCAGAGCTCCACAACTGTCAATGCTTCCTCAGAGATCATGAAACCCAAAATTTCAGCCTGGGACCCCCAGCTGGGGTTCATAACCCCTACTTTGAGAAACCCAGCTTCAAAGGATTGGGGAATAGAACTACAACTGCACCCAATCCTTCAAGAATGGTTTAACCAGTGTTCTGTATAGTTGCTGTATGACATCTTTGCTGCTGTACTCAAATCCTCCTGTGATCAAGGTTAACATGGTGTTACTTTCCAAACTCTTTGCTGCACCTGTGTGCTAGCATTCAATGACTAATGAACAAGAGCACCTTCCCACCTTCCCATCTTTTGGACAGCAACACTTTTTAAATTGATTCATCATTTAAGAAATATTCAGTCTTTCTGTGTTTTCTAGGCCCACACTTACCCACATCATATTCCCTTTGCCATGCTCCAGCCCACTTACATAAGAACATAAGAACTAGGAACAGGAGTAGACCGTCCAGCCCTTCGAGCCTGCTCCACCATTCAATAAGACCATGGCTGATCTTTTCGTGGACTCAGATCCACTTACCCGCATTCCTTTATTGTTCAAAAAAAATCTACCTTATCTTTAAAAACGTTTACTGAAGTAGCATCAACTACTTCACCGGGCAAGAAATTCCATAGATTAACAACCCTCTGGGTGAAGAAGTTCCTTCTCAATTCAGTCCTAAATCTGCTCCCTCTAATCTTGAGGCTATGCCCTCTTGTCCTAGCTTCACCTGCCAGTGGAAACATCCTCTCTACTTCTTTCTTATCTATTCCCTTCATAATTTTATATGTTTCTATAAGATCCCCCCTCAATCTTCTGAATTCCAATGAATATAATCCCAGTCTACTCAGTCTCTCCTCATAAGCCAACCCCCTCAACTCTGGAATCAACCTAGTGAACCTCCTTTGCACCCCCTCCAGTGCCAGTACATCCCTTCTCAAGTAAGGAGACCAAAACTGCACACAGTGCTCCAGGTGTGGCCTCACCAGCACCTTGTACAGCTGCAGCATAACCTCTCTGCTTTTAATCTCAATCCCTTTAGCAATGAAGGACAAAATTCCATTTGCCTTCCTAATTACTTGTTGTACCTGCAGACCTACCTTCTGTGATTCATGCACAAGGACACCCAGGTCCCTCTTCTCTGTTACTTAACGATACTCAGTTGATGCCAGTCAATTCCGCAGGCAAGGCCAGCATTCGTTACACAAGATCTCAAAGTCGAGATTGAAGGATGTTGTTGGGCGAATGCGAGCAGGAATCTGGCATTGATCTCTGTCGAGAACAGCATGCTGCAACTTTTTACCATTCAAGTAATAATCCTTTTTACTATTACTCCTACCAAAATGTATGACTTCACATTTATTTACATTGTATTCCATCTGCCAGATCTTTGCCCACTCACTCAATGTATCTATGTTCCTCTGCAACAGCCTATCAAAATTCGGTGGAAGCCTCTCCCACATCCACCCCCCCCCCCCCCCCCCCCCC